AAGATATGTAGTCACAGAATTATGTGAACAAGGAGCCTTTACTCACAACCTGGAATTCTGGAGCAGGGAGAAAAGTACTGCCCCTTTTGAGAGCCGGTTTGGGGTAGTTGTTGAGTGCACAGACTCTAATCTGGGAGAACCAGGTTTGATTCCCCACTCCTCCACATGCAACTGCTGGTGTGCCCTTGAGTCAGTGTTCTCTCAGTGCCGTTCTCTCAACAGGAGTCCTCGAAAGGGCTCTCTCACCTACCTTACAGGCAGTGTTCCCTCTAAGCTGAGTTAGTGTGAGCTGGCTCAGTTTTTTAGCCTCCGGCTCACACATTTTTGTCTTAGCCCAGGAAGGAGGGCTCCAGAGCAAACTAATGTACACAGTAGCCAAATTGCTCGATCACAACTTTAATGCCAGTAGCTCACAAGAAGGATAAGGAGATCACAAGACCACACCTTAGAGGGAACATTGCTTACAGGGCATCTGTTGTGGGGAGGGGAAGGATAAGGAGATTGTAAGCTGCTCTCAGACGCCAAGTGAAAGGCGGGGCATAAATCCAATCTCTTCTTCTTCCAATCACTTCTGTAGAAACCAAACGATGGTAAGGCCTGCAGTGATGTAAACACTGTAGTACTGTTGAAAACCACAGTACTGTACCAGTGAGTTATCTACATGCCATAAGGAGTCCTACAAGACTGTGGTCATTCTGCGTGACACCATTAGCCTTGTGCAAAGCCCACAGTGCCCTTCCCAGCCTCACTTCCTTGCTAGGAAAGGGTGTAGTTTTGGGTGATGTCCAAAAACCATTAAAACAGGATCCCAATATATATTTTTTTAATCCCATCATTATACCAGAAAGGTCAAAGCTGGGAAATCTCACGCAGTGTCCCAAAGAAGTGATGCTGGTACTTCAGAACCTCAATTTATATCCCCCTTCCCCCACACACACACTTTCTGATGCTGGCTCCTCAAACAACAATGGACACCATCCAGCCACAATCAAGCGCTTCAAGTCCCACTGCTTTCGAAGGAAGAGGTTTAAGCATGTGCTTCAGTTCCATAGCATTTAATGGGATACAAGACAGCTAGTCTTCAACCAACTCCAAATATGTTCACAACCTGCTTTTGGCAAGTATCAGAGACCAACTGAAGGCAATCTGATTCTCCAAAGCAAACAACCGCTTCCTCCCATGCAACGCCTGCCGGGCCGGGGCCAAACCCAGCTGGGATCCAGGCACTGCTGGTCCAGAAGGGGAAGCGATTGCCTGCCACATCTCCGAAAGGCAGGAGCAAGCTAAGCCCCTGTGGTGGATGAGCAGCTCCCTCACAGTGCCCCTCCCAGCAGTCACTAAAGCAAGAGGTTTCTTGTGTTTTCTCTTTTCGGTATATAAATCCATGCTAACTTCTCATCAGCTAAAGGTACAGAAAGAGGACATGAGAACTCCAGTTGGATAACTATCACTTGATTTTTATTTACATGGGGGGACGTTAAGCTGCCGGTACTTCATTTTGAATCAGAAGCTCTAGTGATATTCTCGAAGTCAGATTTCAAAAACTTTAAAGGCTGGACAACGACAAAACCCTTAGGAGCTCCTACTGTGGAAGCCCTCCCGTTGGTCTCTAAAATAAAGAATAGCGACACAGACTGAGAAGACGGCTGGTTTACCCAGGAGACAGAAACACTGGTAGGGGGGATTGCATATGCACAGATGCTTCAAACTTCAGAAGGCAGATCTAAATTGTGTTTTGGCCGAGCTCATGTGCCAGATCCGTACGCACAATGCGTGTGTGGTGGTGGTGGTTGTATTTTGGAGCCCGGGTACTGTCCAGTAGATTTTTAAACCACTTTTCACATTCTCCACTTTTTTTTTTTTATAAACCCGCTTACAGATTTAGGGCAGGAGCCAAGAAACTGACAGATCCTTTTTCAAACAAACGTTGCTAGTACATACCTCATTGGATCGTACCCAGTGGCACTCCTCCAGCAAAGCCCAGTAGGCATGTACATGAGGCAGAGCGTGGCTGAATTGGCATACAACCCCCCCCCCTTTTGTGGCTGCTTCTCACACTGGCCAGAATTGCTTTTTTTAAAAAAACTGATGGTTATGTCAATCATCTGTGGATAAGATTCGTTCATCCTCAGCCAGCCAAAAAAAACACCAAAAAACCCTATACAAAAAAGTCTCCATGTATGAATTTTCTTTCCTGGATTTGCAACAGGGTGTAGAAGAAAGGGAGGACCACGTCCAGTATACAGGATTGTACACTGTTACCCTCCCAACACATTGCCAAGCAGACAGTCAGTTCTGACTGTATTAATCAGCTGAGAAAAGCAGGTCTACATACCTGTACCTCCCAAACAGATCACAGCGCTGTCTGGGATCAACAATTTAAACCACGTATTTGGCCTGAAGTGAAGGAATAAGGGATCCTCGCATGCAGCTTTTGCTGATCAGTGAATACGTGTTTTTAAAAATACTTTGGTTTAAGACCTTCAACCTTCGTGTCTCTTCTTCCACCCCCTCCCCATAAGCCTATGTTCTCCCTCAATCCTACCCTAACTTTTGTGTCCAATATCCCCCCCCCCCGGCAAATCATTAGAAGAATAATCATAGTTTTCTCCCCCCCACCCCCAACTAATATACATATACACAGTAATGGCCATGCCATTTCGTGTTACAATGGCCATTTTTCTCACATACAAGATAAAACAAAAAGAGAGAGAGACAGAAGACTAGCAACATTATGGAAAAAGAGATCCGCCTACCCCTTTCTCACAGACTTGAGAAAAATACAGCTTGGGAACTGGGAACTCCCCCTAGAAAGAGTCGTCCAGTTCATTCCTCATCCCTCGCACCCGTACCCCATGCTGACAGTGAACTATAGGCCACGTGTCCAAACACCAAGGGGAGAAAAGAAGGGAGGCAATACTTAGTACGGCCCCACTGGTTGCCACTTCATTTCAGCGAGCCGTGATGCCTAGACACCAGAAGATTCTGTGCACTGTGACTGGTTCCTCTCAAGAAGAAAACGGTACCTCTTAGCATGTGGAAAGCACCCCTGCACCCATCACTCTGGCACAGCTATCAGCTGTCCATGCTACCGAGGAATTCTCGGCACCTGATGTTGTGGGCTCCTGACCAATACCTGATAGATCCTGGTGACCCTGAATGCAGGGGTCACTTGTCTAGTATCAGCCATCTGTTATTTAGTTAATATCAGCAAAAGTATGCCCTTGGTACAGTCCTATATGTAGCCCTACAGGCAGCCCATATAGTGCTTGCTGACCCCACTGCACAAACCATCTGGGCACCTGTGTCACAAACCACTCTATCCTCAGAGCCCAATTCACACGGGCCATCTCTTTCTTGAGCTTTCCAGGAACAGGAGCTGCTCTCAGCTCTGCAGGCCTTAAGGAAACATAAGGCAGAACGGGAAGAGCTTATAGCAGTGCTCACTCCTGCGGATTAAAAAAAAACCAGCTCTGCAGATAACCGACTTCAGGAGAGATCCATTTGCTCTCCTCTAAAGCGGGGAATGGCGACCCCTGGGCCAAATGCAGCCCTGATGAGTTCCCCCTTGCCAGAATGTATTTTTCTCCTTCCCTGGTAACAAACGTTTCAGGGGACAAGAACATTACGAAGAGAGAGGAAACGAGAAGGGTACAGCTGCAGTGGTATTCGTAAGGAGGAGTAGGAAATGCTGGAAGGGCACTATGATAAGATGGGAGGGTGACGTGAGCTCATCCCTAATGGAGATGACTCCCTATTCTGCATATTACATTTTTTCCAGGGATGAGGAGGAAGGGGGGGGGGACACTGTGCAAATCGACCCCTTGATGGCCTTTGTTATTTAGGATGGAAGCAAGAGAAATCCAACCACGTACGTACACTGGCACTTCAGAGTGTCATGGGCAACTGAATTTCCAAAAACATTTTGCTACGTGGGGGACCCCTAGGCTTAACTCCATAAAGGACAGCAACAGGGTTCCTCAAACAGGCCGTTCCCATTGGCTGCACTCCAGCCAATCACACCGGAGAACAGACTGGCTGCTGTTTGAACAGATCGTCATGGGTTTGTTTGTTCCACCAACTTCAAGGCTTGACCCATTATTACACTGATCATACAACATGTCCGATGCAGGATGCGACAGCCAACCTTTCCGCTGCTTGTTGTCACTACAGCTCAGTGAGGTAGAGCCTTGCTGTTCCCTTTGTACAGACAGGGAACCCGGGCTGAGAGAGTGCAGCTTTTCCATACAGCAAAATTCATGGTTGAGCAAGGAATCCTGATCTCCTGTGCCTAAACACGTGGGGCCACACTGGCCCTGTGATCAGACACGGTGACCCTTCAGAGCCCATGTGGCAGCCCCCTCTTGACCCTACACTGAACCCCACAGCCCCTAGGGGGACTAGAAGAATCTTAGGAATGATGGTTGATGTAGTCCCCATAGTGGAAAGACGTACAAAGCTGAACAACCTGCTATCCCCTGAACAGAAGAAGTGTCTCGTTGCATCAGGCCAAATTTCACACCACTAATTACTCTGCATCCGGCAATGGACAACAGGATGCTCCCAGGGAGCTTCCAAGGAGGACATGGCAGTAACAGCCATCCACTGTCCGAATAAAAGAGTCTCCACAGTCTCTTCCCTGCACTTTCAACTGAGAACTGAAGGCGACATTGTGGAAACCTGGGGAGGGGCTTATTTCTCAACAGCTCACAATGCTTTGCTTACAGACATGTGATGTCACAAAGCAGACACAAGGTCCCCATCTCCAAGAGAGCTTCACGCCAGTACAGACAGGCAGAGCATGGAGCCACCTCCCACGCTCAGCTTCCTCCCAGCAACTCCTCTCACAGAAAATGGTGCTTCCCCCCTTCAGGCTGAAAATGAGGAAAGCTCTGGGAATCGTGGCTTGGGTTTCTGTCGTAGACCCTGCAAAGGTGAAGGTTATCTTCTCTAGAGGTCCTCACCACAAGTCATCTTCACACAGCACACGTCACTGGGGTAAGTACGAGGCAGAGGGGTCAACGTTGCAATAAGTCCTGAGTTGAGACAAATCAAGTCCTCTAATGAAGGTCCAGTTATGTTCAGAGGGGGAGCAGTCAGAGAAAGAATGGAAGCTATCAAGAAGACAAGATAAAACCGCTTCACCCCCCACCCAAGATTTCCTTGCTGGTGAGGGAGGGATTGGTCAGGTGCTGGGAGATGGGGCAAGGCTGGTTCTTTCTAGGTGCTTGATCCATCTTTCTCCTTTTCATCCGAAATGTCCGCCTTCTCCCCTGCTTCACTGGCTTTTTGTTCACTATTTTGTTCACTATTCGCCTGTGATTCCGCGGATGCGACAGGCTTGGTTTTTTCTGCCGTCTTCTCTTTGGTGTGGATCCTCTGGTGCGTCACCAAGGCGCTCTTTTGCCGGAATCGCCTCCCGCACTCGAGACAGCGATAGGGCCGCTCCCCGGTGTGGATTCTCCGGTGTATGACAAGATCAGAGAACCGGGTAAACCTTCTCTCGCATTCGTCGCAAGGAAACGGCTTTTCTCCCGTGTGAATTTTCTGGTGCCTGGTGAGATCCGATGGATAGCTGAACCTCTTCCCACACACGCCGCAGCAAAAGGGCTTCTCTCCGGAGTGCGTCCGCTGGTGCGATATAAGATTGGAACGCTGGATGAAGCGTTTCCCGCACTCGGCGCAAGAAAACGGCTTCTCTCCCGTGTGGATCCTCTTGTGGATTTTAAGCGTGGATGAGGAGACAAACCGTTTCCCGCACTCCAGGCAAATATAGGGTTTCTGACCGGTGTGGATATGCTCGTGAATCTTAAGGGCCGAATGATGGCTGAAACACTGCTGGCAGTGCGTGCAGCGATAGGGCTGCTCGCCAGAGTGGACTCTCTGGTGGCTGATGAGAGAGGACCGCTGGGAGAAAGCTGCCCCGCACTCGGAGCATGAGTGTGGCTTCTCCCCTGTGTGGATTCTGTGATGTCTCGTCAGGTGGGACAGCTGGCTAAATCTGGTCCCGCACTCTGAGCAGCGAAAGGGCTTCGCTCCCGTGTGGGTGTTCTCGTGCTTCGCCAGCTCTGATGGGCGTGCAAAACATTTCCCGCAGTCGATGCAGACGTGGGGTTTGTTCTTCCGGGGAGGCCTCCCAGAGTCAGAACGGGCCCCTTCTTCCCTGGCACCCTGATTCTGCACCTGCCCACCCGTTCGGTTTGCTGTCTTGACACCTAAGAGATACAGAAGACAAATCAGCAGTTCAGATCATTGTTACTCGAGACCAACGTGTATTAGAGATGAAATTATTTCTTTATACTTTCATTATCTATCCCGACCTCTCCCTGCACAGCAGGGCTCGGGGTGGGTTACAACATAATAGCTAAAAAAAATAGCTTTACAATAATAAAAACTATAACATTTAATTTACAACGGCGTGTAATAAAACCAGTGCATTACAATTGGTGACTATCAGGAAGGGATATCTGAGAAGGGACTGAAACTCTAGGTTGGGGTCAGTATTCATCTAACCGTTGTCATTCCTGACCATATGCCTGGTGGAAAATCTCTGTCTTGCAGGCCCTGCAAAATTGTTTCAGGTCCCACAGGGCCCTGGTCTCACTAGACAAGAAGTGGTGGGGGCCAGGGCCAAAAAGGCCCCGGCCAAGGATAGCTGGATCACTTTTAATGAAGCAGTATCTGTGTTATTGGGACAATTTATCCTGATGGTGGGTAAGGCTGGCTGTATGCTGCAACTCTGTGGATATGCAGAAGCAATGGACAAAGTGGTTGGGAATACAACGTTCAAATGATGCCTTAGAATTTCTGCTTTTTTGAGTTTTTTCTAAATCAACTTTCGACCTCATGGCTGTGAAGATACAAGGACAACTTTCAAAATAAGCACTAGCCAGTCAAAAGCAAAGGGGAAACTCAAAAGGGCGGATCAAAAAACAAAATATTTCATTACTGTATACTTGTATACCAGTTTTCCTTGCGGCTCAAATTGGTTTGCAATAGACTGGATTTCAGCCCGCTTTTTCACTCAGTCTTAGCCAATTCCCCTCTGTACTATATGCCCCATGGCTTTTCACCATGAAAGTTCCACAATCTCCTGCATAATCTTTTGGGGAGGTCCCTTTTTCTCCACAACAAAAGTGGGGTGAATCGAACAAAATAAAGTACGTCAGATATTAGTGGTATCCCCATGCTCCAGTCTCCAATATTAACCCCAACAGCCGAATGCTGGTAGTTACTCTTCTTGAGGGAAATGGAAGTTGTTTATGTCACCTCCGTTTGCTATTGGCAGTTAAACTTCCTAAGGAATAGGAAACTTTTATAGCTCACCCAGACCCCTCAGTTCCACAAGGCCTCTAGACCAAAGTGGGGTGAATCGAACAAAATAAAGTACGTCAGATATTAGTGGTATCCCCACGCTCCAGTCTCCAATATTAACCCCAACAGCCGAATGCTGGTAGTTACTCTTCTTGAGTCAGGATGGGAAATGGAAGTTGTTTATGTCACCTCCATTTGCTACTGGCAGTTAAACTTCCTAAGGAACAGGAAACTTTTATAGCTCACCCAGTCCCCTCAGTTCCACAAGGCCTCTAGACCACAGCTGTAGGGCCTTGGGACAACGTACAATTTCTTTCAAAAATCAGAGAATCAAAAGAGGCATAAGGACAGACTTGTGCTTACCCATGCTAAAATGTAAGTAACTATAGTAAAAAAAAAAAGAGGCGAGAGAAGGTTTGGTAGGGGACTGGACACCCACCAGCACTGCTTACAGAATTCTTGCAGAATAATTCAAACTGTATAACCAGAAGAGTCAAACTTTTCAAAAAATTAGAATGATCTATAGGCTACACAATGGATCTTGGCTAACAAGTTAAAATATAACTCAAGTAACACCATAAATACGTTACAAGCACAAGAATATAAAACAAGCACCACTCCCCCCATTTCATTCCAGTTCCTTCCAGAAACGGAAAAAAAACTTTAGTTTTCCCTGTAGGGGTAGCATCAATCTCACATCCTGAAGGAAGGAGTCTTGAGGATGGTAGCTGAAAACACCACCCTACAGGTCCCTGCAACCTAACTTTAGATAAACCTAGATTCCATAAAAAGGCGCATAAATGGATCTCAAAACACAGAGCAGTTGTGATGGCTGGTGCCATTCTTCAGGTACTCTGTCTGGACCCGTGTCATTTAGGGCTTCAAAAGGTGAAAAACCAGCACTTAGAACTCAGCCCAGAAACAGCGCTGGACCCATGTCATTTAGGCCTTCAAAAGGTGAAAACCCAGCACTTAGAACTCAGCCCAGAAACAGACTTGGAGCCAGTAGAGCTGAAGCAGCACTGGCCTTTGCATACATCCCAGGAAAAATCTTCACAGCCACATTTCCCAATTCCAAGAGCAGCCCTACAGAGCGCTTGTTACAGTAATCTAATTTGGACAGCTCACCCAAAGCCAGAGCCCAACCATTCCCCAAGATCACTCCTTTCCTCCTCAATCAAACCAGGCAATTCACACTACAGAACGAGAACATGTACAACAGGGAAGATCTCGCCAGTAGAGCACAACTGTTTCAGATGATCCAAGCAAGTAAGCCAACCTACATACTGGAAAGGGAGCCACCACCCTCCAGACTCCGACAAAAACGCCCGTCGGTCAACTGAATCTTCTAGAGAAACTTGAACAATAATGACTGTGCCACTTGACCGCCTGCCTTCAGCAACAGCAACCCCTGATGTTCCAAAAGGAACGGGATCAGAGCAGTCATGACCAAAACTCAATCTAGACATGCAAACAGTGGCAAACTAGGCATGAGGTGAGGAGTGTTGGCCTGCTCAAGTCCCTAGCTGCTGACCCTACTGTCCCATGTGTGTGAGACATGCGCACTCCAAGACTCCCCCTGCCCATGTCTACCTCCATTTATTGTAAGGTTTGGAGGCAGGTGAGCAGCTCCCAGCAGTGCCAGGGCTTTAGGTAATTAGGCAAGCGACTTACTGAACCCCCAGAGCTCTGCTGTCTTGCCTTACAGGGGAGGAGGATCTCCCAGCAATTTCCACCCCTCTTCACAGGCCCCAATCCGCTGACATCTAACACAAGACTCAAGTGAAAGGTTTACCCAGCACTCGGGGCCTCCTGTTCCCCGGCTGTCTGGCCTCCTTGTTGAGCTGCCTCTGTCGGGCATCTGACACAGTCCGCTGGCCTTCAGAGAGATTCAGGGCTGTCGTCTGTAATGAAGCAGAGCCCTGAAATGAGATTGGAAGTCAACCCGCAACCCACCCCACTCTCCTCCACTGTGGGTGTCTTCTTTTTTTTAATCTAATGGTGCTGGGTGGTAGTCAAGGCAAAAGCCAGAAGGTGGAAGGAGTTTAGAGAAGGTGCCAGGAACAACAACAGAACTATCTATGGGCTACATTAGAGTCATAAAATAACCACACTGATTTAAAAACTGGGCAGGGATTCGTTTAAATGTTGATAAGTCGCTTTTCCCCACCAACCCCCACATGGACCCAAAGTGTTTTTTCACATTGCTATCCCATCCTCCATTTTACCCTCATATAACAACCGCCCTGTGAGACATATTAGGCTTAGAGAGTGACTGGCCCAAGCTCACCCCGTGAGCTGGAAGAATGGCCGTTTGAATCTAGGTCTCCCGGATACCAGCCCAACACTCTAACCTTTATACCACACTAGTCTGTACAACCAGCACGTCATGAGTAAACACTGTTCCTGGACTGTACCACTTTGGGATGTAGGCAAAAGGGGGTTGCCTGAATGAAAATTCCTACACACTAGATATCAGGGAGCAGGGGTCTAAACAACCTTCTTAAGTGACACAATAGGTTTCAACAGGGGTCGTTTCGTAGAAAAAGAGCTAGGGGAACTCATTAGCATAACTCATTAGCATATGCCACACCCCCTGACAGTGGACCTGCAAGGCCGGCGGGGGTGCAAGGAAGCCCCGCAAAGGCCCTCCCTGGCCCCAGGCAGGCAGGGGTGGGGAGAGGCAGGGAGGAAGCAACTTACCCTCCCTCTTCTCCTGCCTCCTCCTGGCTGAATGAGGGCCAGAAGTGGGGCGGCCGTAAGCAGGGGACGGGGCTTCGTCATGTGCCCCGCCTCCCCGTACCTCACCCGGGGGAACTGCGATCCCCCGCGATCCCCCCTGAAATGACTCTGGGTTTCAATATACTAGGATTGGGCTGTTTTTCTCAGGGGAATAGTCTAAGAAGCACCCCCGCCCGTCTGAAGACACACAGTGCCCAAAAAGTGTTGCGACATCAACATTGGTAAGGGGCTGATCCACTAAGCCAGAGCTATGCTCCCTATTTCCCCCCCATTGGTCAGTAGGTGGAGCTTCTGCCCAATTCGCTATTTCTTCTACACAGAAAAGGGGGGGGGCAGCTTAAATACAAAAGGAAACAAACATGCAAAGTTGTGTGATTTGTTCTAATAGCAAATTTCTTAGGATTCTGAATTTCGGCACTGAATACCGACAGCTTTCATCAGTACTGTCCCAAATCAATTCATTTTGGAATTACATCATCAAAGATATAAAGAATTATTATCAGGGTCTTCACAGGACTACCTGTTTAGCACATTTCTACCCTGCCTTTTCTCCAAGGGGTTTTTCCATCCTCACAACCACCCCATAAGGTAGGCCAGGCCAAGAGAGAATGATTGGCCCAAAGGTCTCCCAGTGGGCTCTATAGCCAAATGGGGATCTGAACCCGAGTCTCCATAACTGTAGCCCAGCACTAACACCTACTCCACACAGGTGTAGTGTGGTTACTCACTTCACCTCCAGCTCTCTCACCTGTGGTTCATTTTGCAAACTCTCTTGCCGCCTCAGAAGGAACCCTTCTGCCAAGGCTACTGCTTGGGCACAAGTCTCAGGGCCGCGTTCTCGAACTCGGCTCTGGATGTCCTTTGGCAGGACTGTCAGAAACTGCTCTAGGATCAGCAGCTCCAGGATCTGCTCCTTGGTGCGGCTCTCCGGCTCCAGCCAGGAGTGGCAGAGCTCCCGTAACCGGCTGCAAACCTCGCGAGGCCCCTCTGCTTCCTGGTACCGGAACTGGCGGAAACGCTGGCGCTGCACCTCGGCACTGCTGGGGTTTCCTCGCAGGGTGGTGGGTTTTGCCTTCCCATGGTCTCCTTTGTCTCTGGCATTCAGGTTACTTAAGGCCTGCTGAGCATCAGCACTGAGAGCAGGCATCAGGCGGCTCATCCCTTCTCTAGGCCATTGGCAGGCGTTTACCACACGGTCAAACGCAGCCACGTCATCCCAGGAAGCCAGGTCTGGAAGCTGTGACGTTGCCCATCCTGACGAGGGATACTGGACTGTTTTCAAGTACTCTTGCCATGGAGTTTCCAAGCGCTGAGGTACCCCTTCTTGTCGTGTCGCTGCCCATTGGGCTACATCCCGAGTTGTTCCAGACTGGTTTGAAAATGGGTCTCTTCCTGACCCTGTGGATCCCTCCCCTGTCTCAGGGCCTGTTCGGGCATGCTCCTCCATGTCCACGAAGGGTTGTGTTCACTTTCACTCAGCTTCCTTAGTAAGAAGTTCCACAAATACTGTTTTCCTTCTAGTCAGCCATTTTGGGTTTTTTTCTGATTGGCCCTTAGTCAGCTCCAGTGTTCAGACCCGGTTTCTCCATCTGAGTCCCATGCTTTGTCTCTCAAACAATGGTGAAATAAGAGTTGTGCTCTGGGCCCAGATAGTACCTTAAGGTCACCTGGCAGCTCCCACTCTGTGGGATGGATGAACAGCCCCCCCCCCTCAGTTACACAACAGTCTCAGCTTACTGAGACAAATCACAAGATTCAAAAGGTTGTGGGTTCTTCCTGAGGGAAACAAAGAACAGAGGAAATTCAAAAGGCTGTGGGTTCTACCTGAGGGAAACAAAGAACAGAGGAAATTAATTTGAGTTAAAGCAAGACCTTCACATTTTAAAACCAGCCCACTTGGTAAAGTAACTGGATAATCACCAGGAAGGATGCTAGAAACTATACTACAGGGTGCTAGAAACGACAATAGTCTTAAGGAATGAAATAGGGCAACTTGAACAGAACTCTGGGAGCGTTTGTGCTCTGAATGTCTACCCCCATTTGCAGATGAAAACCAGAGCATGACCCGTTTCAGTTAAAGTGGAGAAAATGAAGAGACTTCAAATTTGCAAAGGGAGGGATGTTTCCCCTTAGTGCAGCCATTTTCCAAACCATGTACCTTCAAGCAGCCATTTCCACAGTCATTTGCCAAAAAAAATCCCACAGCTACAAAGAATCCCATCAGATTTCTGGAACATATTCTTGGGTGCATCGTACTTAGGTTCACACTGCAGTCTAGCCAGACCTACAGTCGGATTCAACTGGCTTTCGAGCAAGGGAACCTTTACCTTGTCTGCCAAAAAAAAAATCCCACAGCTGCAAAGAATCCCATCAGGTTTCTGGAACATATTCTTGGGTGCATAGTACTTGGGTTCACACTGCAGTCTAGCCAGACCTACTGAGTTCTTCATTGGCCTGCTTGAACGTGACAAACATCCTGCCAGAGCTTTGAATTTCAGGGGAGAATGAGCAACAGAGAATAATCTGCCTTTCCAAGAATACTGCCTACCATTTGTGGTCTCCATGCAGCGGAACTCCCCCATACACTTCCAGCTGTCCGAGAACACAGCCTCATAGCCACTGCCCTAGCACAACAACCAGCCATTTTGCTACCCCCCCCACCTGATGCCTCAAAAAGCAAATTTACACAAAGCATGTACCTCAAGATACAGGCATGTTGATACAGAAAACCTTTTAATAGCACCGATTGTATACATACACACAGTTTTATCTTCTTTAAAATGTTGTCACCCACCTAGAGACATTAAAAATCTAGGAGGACAGTGGTTGCTCAAACACAGTCTGCCTACCAGTGTTCCCTCTATGCTGAGTTAGTGTGAGCTAGCTCAGTTTTTTTAGCCTCCGGCTCACACATTTTTTGTCTTGGCTCAAGAAGAATGGCTCCGAGTCCAGAGCAAACTAATTTATGCAGCAGCCAAATGGCTCGCTCACAACTTTAATGCCAGCAGCTCACAAAGTAGCATTTCTGCTCACAAGACTCCACAGCTTAGAGGGAGCATTGCTGCCTACCTATTTGAGTCCTGATACCAAAGTGATGGGGGGGGGGGCACACACAGGCAGGCTATTCCTTCCAGCAGTTATAAATGACAAATATAGAACTTGGCTTCTCTTTTCAATAAGAGAAAAAAAGAAAACGTCTGGCAACACTTTTTAAGGATGGCATTCCAAGCAAAGACAGGCAGATAAAAAGTGAAGGAGGAAAAACTGGATGGAGGGGAATTTCCCAAGGATTCTTTATTTGAAACCCAAACAAGGCTGGTACAGGGAACAGAGACAGAGAGAAACGAGTGTGCCTCTTTGGAAAGAAAACAGAGATGTTGTTGTGTGGGGTCCAGAGGGGGATAAGCCGAGCCTTTAATCGGCTCAGGAGTTAAACACATTCTGCAGAGAATCAGCAGCCAGGGCGCCTGCCTGCCCTTCCCCCAATATGCCTCAACTCACGGGGGGGGGGGGTCTCTTAATCCCTCCCCCACCCCATCCCTAAATCCTCAGATTCACACAAAATGGAAGGCTCCATAGAGTTCTTGGTGAAATCTCAGTGTTTGGCTGAGCTGTTTTAGATCTGAAGTCCTTCATTCCCCCTTTGGTGCCCCAATGCATCATTTGCGGAGTAGGATTGCACCCAGGAATCAAAAACAAGGTATACGGGAACGCTGACCACAGATACAGAAGATGGGAGGTCTTTGGGAATACTGCCATTTCCTTGTTTACGCCACATGTACAAGATCTAGGTTCATTCAACTGGTATCATTACTACTGCCTGAGTCCACACAAGCCCAGGGCAGAACCCAACCTTCACCCATAAACACACATCAGAAGAGCGGGGGAACTCAATCCTTTTCAACACTCTTTAGCCTGACTGTGACCTACAGTAGATCCAAACGCTTCTCACAGAGAACCCAGGAGTCCCAGCTCCCATCCTCCCCCACCCCACCCCTACTTCACCACACCCAAGAGTTTGAGACAACCCCGTAAACACTCCGTGTTTTGGAAAGCCACCCTTTTTACATTCCTTGCTCATTAAACGGTAAAGGTAAAGGTTCCCTTGCTCGAAAGCCAGTCGAGTCCGACTCAAGGGTTGCGGTGCTCATTTCCATTTCAAAGCCGAAGAGCCAGCGCTGTCCGAAGACGTTTCCGTGGTCATGTGGCCGGCATGACTAAACACCGAAGGCTGTTACCTTCCCACCGAAGTGGTACCTACCTATTTATCTACTTGCAATTTCTTGCTTTCGAACTGCTAGGTTGGCATTGCTCATTAGTTCCATCCAAAAGAAAGAAAACACAGGAACACCCCAAATTAAAAAGCCACCACTTGACACAAACGTGGATGGAAACGGTACTTTCGAAACCTGCACTTTACCTTTCTGATCATGGTTAGCGAAAATGTTAGGACATAAATGGTCTTACTGATGAGCCTTGAGTGGAAGCGGGGGTGGGGGAGGTCTCATTGGTACCTAAAAGAGGGAGGCCATTTGCAGAGGGACTTTGGAAGCCCGTATTCGAATGCCAGCTTCAGATCTCCGTAAGGCCTCGGGCCACACAGCTTCGCCTTCCTAATTCCCCACCCGCAAACTGATAAGATTACCTCCCTCTGCCAATTGCGAAACACGGAGAATGAAAGGCATAAGGATCAGAGTACCAGTCTGCGGCCTGGGGTTTAAATCCCGACTTTGCCCTGATCCTGACTTGGCGACTGCGCCAGCATCGACTATTTCTCGGTCTCCCCGTCCTCACAGGGTTGTCGCCCCCCTGAACCCCCACTCCTCCACGTTCGCCACCCTGAGCTCATTTGCTGGAAGGTCGGGCTACCGACGTGACCAAATCAGCGAGCGAATAAACACGATGCTGCCGCGACACGTCCCCCCAAAAAACCCATAAAGCGACCTCGGAAGACGCCAGCTCTCCTGCAATCAAGCGGATCCCTCAACGACACCGAGGCCTTTTGGGGAAACCCATGCCGAGATCGCCCGCACCCCGTGCAAAGGCCCCGACTCCCTCCTGCGGGCGACTCTCCCTGCCCGGCGAGTCCTTGCTTCCTCCAGCTGTCCCTGCCCTGGCCCTCCTGCGGCCGGATCTCCCCCGACGGCCTCCCTTCCACTCACCGCTTCCCCTACGCAGAGCCCCACTCGCACAAAGCCCTGCTGCGGAGGATCTGCAACCCTGCAGAGGCAAATCCCCCCTGATTAAAATTCAAATCCCAAGTTTTGATCCTGGGAAGAGGAGGAGCAGGAAGGTGCTGCGGGCTAAAGCATCCCCCGCGCGCTCCGCTCGGCTTCCTGAGTCTCTCCAGGGCGGAGAGCTCCTTCCTGAGTCTCTCTAGGGCGGAGAGCTCACGCTAGACTTAACTCTTGGCGTCTCTTTCTTTCTCGGAGGGGCGGGAGCGCTTCCAATTCGCTTCCCAGGCGTAGCCGGGCGAGGTTCTTCAGCCCGAGCAAAAGGAAAAGGGAGCAGGGCATGGGCTGCCTGTCTTGGCAGCATCCGCCGCTGCTCCCCCACGCCCGTTAAGCCTTTTAAGCCTTTTAGCTGTCGCTTTTGATCTAGAAAGGAGTGGAAATGCCACCAAGCGATGATAGAAGTTGTCACCACATAGCCCAGGAAGAAGCGAGTACTCACTTTCCTACACAGTCGCCGCTTGTTCGGGACTCTGGGGAAATGCGCGCGCGGGGGGTTGGGGGAGCCTGCATCGGTTGGATGACTACCTGCCCCGTAGTTGTTCAAGGCGCAGGCAGGGCCCGCTGCCGGGAGCGGGGGGCATTCCCTTTGCAAACAGTAGTTGGTCGGAATGCATTCGGTTTTAACGGGCAGACATTCACCAGGTGCATCTTTTCCCTAGCCCAAAGAGGTAACCGTATTTATTCGCTTATTTAGCCTCACTTGTCACGCAGAGCCCCCAAAGCGGCTTCCAAGGAGACTATAAAATGCAAAAAACGATCAAAGTGGAAGTCAAGCTGTCTGGTAAATAAAAACGACCCAGCTGTAGGATAAAACACAACAGTAACAAAAGGACAAGAGCAGGAGCTAAGGAAAGGCTGTACCTGTTGAATGGCTACCAGCTACAGTGTTCTCTTAATAGCCAGATAGACTTTCAATGGGTGCCTCTGTTTCCCATTGTTTATGTATTTAGTACATAATGGGTGCCTCTGTTTATGTATTTAGTACACCCTTATCCTTTCCTCTCTCTAAGGGAGGCTGCGGTTCTCTTCCATTGTATCCTTAAAGCAGTCTTGTGTGGGCGGTTAACCTGAGAGACAGGACTGATCACATTTCCTGGGCAAAGAGGGGGTCGAACCTAGGTCTTCCAGCTGTTAGTTTAACACTCTGAGCACTAGACCACATTGAGCACTAGACCCCTTCCATTAGCATTGTCCAGTGAGTACTCTTGGGTATCCTCATATACCCACCCTCAAATCTATAAGGATAAAATATATCGGAATATAATTGGTCTCATTCTGTTTCCATGTCTCCCCACACTTTTTGGTCAAGTTCTTGAATGTCAGTTTGGCTAGGGTCTGAATGGGAAAGGGAGGATTTGGGAGAATGGAAGATAGATCAAACGCCATTTAAAATCATTTATAAAATACTGATCAGGATAGGTTGTAGCAGTTGTTCTATAATGGTCGGACTCATGGTGATTTACTAATGCTGTATGGAGGGAATGGATGTTAGAAATGCTAGCAATTATCCTTATTAATTTAGAAGCAAAAAGTATTTGATGTATGTAAAGTTTGTTATTAACAAAAAATAATAAAAACTTTAAACAAAAAAAATAATAATCACAACTAACATTTATCATTTAGGTTTTTTTACTGTGTATGCATGGAGACCAGAAAAAGGCTCTTGCAAGCTAAAAGGAATGGTTTAGTTCTGTTCCCAAGCATTGGCCTTCCAGCAGTCTCAAGCCTTGAAGTCCGCTGTTTTTCCCACTAAACAATTGGTATTGGGAGGTCCACCCTGTCTAAATCCAAAGGTTCCATTTGGGTATCATGACCAATAGCTGCTGATAGACCCATCCTTTGTGAAAGTCAATAATCTTATTTTTAAAACCTGTCTATAGTGGCATTTGCCACTTCTTGTGGCATGGTTGCATATGTTAATGATGCCCTGTGTCTGCCCTGTTTTTACTACCAACCCATTTCATTTGGTCGCAGTATTATAAGAGGAAGACATTCAACAGCCACCATCTCCATGCCATTCACAATTGTATAATCAAGCTGATCTTGTATCAAAATGAACTGAACGCAATTGTATAAACTCCTACAGTGTTCTAAACTTGAAAAAACTCCAAATGTTCCATAGTGAGGAAGCCTTTGATCTCTGCAATAATGCAATTGCACCTTTTCTAGCTCTAGGATACCCTTTTCAAGACAGGATGATCTGTACAAAAACAAACCTTGTGGCTCTTTGAGAGCCAAAACTACAAGTAGGCTCTATCCACAAAAATTTGCGGAGAATAAAAACTTCTTAGCTTTCACAGCTGCAACAGGATACCCCCTCTGGACTTGGACCTGGTTTTCCAAAGGCAGCTGCACCTGAAACGTAGCTGAATGCATCACAACCCTGTAAGGTAGAGCATTATCATAGCCATTTTAGAAGCACAGGACTGAGGCTGATGGGCGGGGGATGAACTGTATATCTGAGGCTGTGCCCTATGCGCTCTTATTGGGGAACAAGCCCATGGTATTCATTAAGGTTCACTTCTCACTAAATATGTATGGAGTACTTCCAGGTGGCGTCATGCTAGATTGATATAACTGACAGTAACCAGGAGTCATTTTGTTTACTCCAGACTGGGAAACAGCTTTGCCAAAACACTCGAGATTGCGTGAGCCCGTCAGACAGCAATCCGAGCCAGCAGCAGGCAGCTCATGGAGGGTTAAATATGTTGGGTATTCTGGGTCCTAGAGGCATCCAGATCTCAGAGGCACAGGGGGAAGGAATACAGGAGGGAGCTTCCTCTCTCAGAGTGAGCTCTATTCCCCCCCCACCCCCCCATCAGCAGCCGATCTGGGGATGGTAGATGCCTCCAAGCTGGGGAAAGCTGCAGAGGTGAGTAGATGCCAGATCTGCAAGGTGCAGGGTTGCAATTTCAGCGGCGTTCTGGAAACTGTCAGCATCTCTTTGATCGAGGGAGAGAGAGAGAGATGTTCTCTGCTGAAAGGGAGGTCTGTATGTTCTACGGAGTGGTGGTCGTCGGCATGTGGGGGGTGGGAATCACTCCATGCGGGAGGCACCGCAAACACTGTGCAAGTTAGAAGTATTCTGCAAAATGGGGGTTTTTTTGCTATGTTCCCCTTCACAGCACCCTTGTGAGACAGGTCATATTGGTTCCCATTTTACAGATGGGCAACACAGGGGAGGTGTGTTTGTCCTGACATATTTGTCACTGGGTCTCAGTGGTGAGTGGTGTACCTTGTGCATGTGAAGTGGGGTCTTGGAGTTCCAGCGAGCTTTCAGTGTTTAAAGGAGCTGTTTCCACATATACCTATGTCATCAAATAATCTGCAGGCATTAGTTCCACTGCTCAATGAGACATCACCAGGCCCTGCCCCATGCGTTTCTGGGCCTGAGATTCTGGGGACCTGGCAATACTGTCTCAAAGATCACACAACACTTCCTGCTTCCTCCCCTCCTGAGGCCCAGTTTGGTGTAGTGGTTAAGAGCGCGGACTCTAATCTGGGATAACTGGGTTTGATTCCCCACTCCTCCACATGCAGCTGCTGGTGTGACCTTGGGTCAGTCACGGTTCTCTCAGAGCTGTTTTCTCAAGAGCGGAAGAGCTCTCAGCCCCACCTGTTGTGGGGAGGAGAAGGGAAAGCTGCTCTGAGACTCCTTTGGGTAGTGAAGGGTGGGGTATACATCCAATATCTTCTTTTTCCTTTGGTAGCTTCTTGACCCGCATCTGAGGCCACAGCCTTTTAACACGCATCCCCTTCTGTTCCTAGACCCCACATGACTTTTTTCTTCCTACAAAATCCACTTTCCATGTTCCTGAGATTAGCTGCTCTGATGGCTCAGCATTCATTGGTCAGCCCTTTCTCCACATCACTATTCATCCCACCCACCCCAACTGTGACATCACAGCAACTCTGTCAGTGTCATGCTGGGGGCACCATAGACTGAAAGTCAGAGTTTAGCTTACTGTGTCGAGATGTAATTTTCCCCTTCATCTTTCACTTCAGGAATTGACAGCGCTCTTTAGATGGGAATTTTGCCACCCTGTGTTACTTCTAGGGCTTTGAGACCTGGATGTCTTCCGGACAGCATCGTTGATAAGACCAGACCTGCACTAGATCCACTGAGGGTATCGTCCCCCAGTTATGGATGGGAGATGTGGACTTGAACAGGGACGATGCCAAATCCAAGGAGGCAAAATGGTGGCCGTCCAAGAGAAGTAAGAATGCGCGCTCTGCCGTTCCAGCTGCCTTTGTAAGCAACCCAGAGAGAAGCCAATGGAGGAGCCAAATCCAGCACGCCCTGAACTGGGGCAAGGTTTGGTGACAGGAGCGGGAAAATCTCCGCGGGCCATTCAAGCTGGAGCCATCGGTGAATTTCTGAGGTGGGCCACCCCTCAGCAGGGTAGGCTGGAGAGACAGGAGGGAATGCCGTCACACGGAGAGGCCCAGTGGCAGGAAATCCTGAAGACAGTTCAGTCTTCTCATTCGGGCTGGACGAGTTCTCAGTTGCCGGATCTGCCCCCGTGGGATGACCTGTCCACGTTCGAGAGGGTGGCGGATGCCTGCCAGTGGTCCCGAGGAGAAGGCATGGCCAGACTCGTGCCAAGCCTCAGCGGAGAAGGCCAGCACTTCCTTACCAGCCTGGAGGCCAGAGACAGGGGAGATTATGGGAAGATGAAGGCCGCTGCCCCCCGGGGGGATGCCGCGGGTGCCGAGACGCAGCGCCAACGCTTCCGCCAGTTCCGCTACCAGGAAGCCGAGGGACCCCGCGAGGTGTGTAGCCGGTTGCGGGAACTATGCCATCGCTGGTTGGAGCCGGAGACCCGCACCAAAGAGCAGATCCTGGAGATGCTGATCCTGGAACAGTTCTTGACGATCCTGCCCAAGGAAATCCAGAACCGAGTCCGAGAACGCGGGCCCGAAACGTGCGCTCAGGCAGTGGCCCTGGCAGAGGGATTCCTGCT